TATTTCCTTGATATGAAAAAAAAACACAACTATAAACAATTTTATTCATTTCCCACAATTGCAATATAAAAGATCTAGCTGATTTATGCAAATACTTAGTTTTTTTTTCTTGAATTGATCAATGTCAATGATTGTTTAATAGCTATAAATAATCTAATACCGAAAAAAGAAAAACAGAAATCTACTACATGTATAATCATAGAGGTAAAAAAAAAGAACATTTATGACAGCGTGTTGAACGCTACAAATCATTAAAATTAGTTTAAAATTTTATCTTAGACTAATAGATAAGATGATTTCTAAGCTTATGGAAATGTTTTGCAGCAAATTTGATTACTCAGTAACATTTTCAATCATATTTTTTTTTAGTTTTATTGTGATCAGAAAACGGATTAGATAAAAATATTAAATTATTTTGAGTCGTGTTATTTTTATGATAGATAATTCTCGCTCTAACATGAAATATTTTTTCGAAAATAAACTTATGCTCATTCTACGTATCATCAGCATGTCTCTATTTTAGAATTTATTCTTCATTATAAAAAAAAAAAAAAAACCACAAATCTATTATATCGTGATTAAAAATAATATAATCGGACAAAAACAAATAAACAAGAGTTCATAAAGTTCCTTTTGTTTTTCATCCTATTTTTTTTCTAAATACATATAATTCATTGAAACATTTAACAAGACATTTCGAAAAGTATTCTCATCAATTAGAGCATTAATATAAAATGTTCTCTGTGATTAATCAGAACTTTTAATATAAATTTTAAAATCTTGTTTGTACTTATTAAATAAAATTCGTTGAATAAATGTATTAAACGAGATAATACTATTACGAGAGCAACTTGAAGAAAAAAAAAGGCATTATTAAAAATTGATAAACAGCTTTTCAACGTTGAATTTTTTGTTTACGTGTATTTATTGATTTTGATTTTTTTGCCGCTTATTATTTGATTATATATATATACAACAATGCGATTTACCGACAATTGATAATTGTCATTAAAATCAAATAAAATCATTAATAATAACGGATATAAAATAGTAATTAATGCAAATAATAAATCATACATGAAGCAACATTCTAGGGATTTATATTATTATATTTTGTTGATGTATCGAATAGATTAGTTTCTATAATAGAAAATGGTTTCCATATGAATCTCAACTGACAAAAAAAACAAAATAATAATAATTATTATTATTATTGTTCTTCGTTGAGCATTTTTTTCAATAAGCTATTTTGTCGATGATAAGTAAAGATAAATCATAAAATTCATTGAGCAATAATTACTCAAGTCGTAAGCACAATAAATTCATAAATTTTACGAAGGTTTTGATTTTTTGCACTATAATTAAATTTCCAATAGGTCTACAGAGTGTATTCGCGTACATGAACTTACATGGGGAGACAAAAAAAACATTTTGAGTCTAGAAAAATTTCCGGAAAACTGTTGGATATAGGAAACTTTTTGAAAAAGATATTTTCATTAAGAAAAACGCAAAGTTACTAAATTATTTCTTTTGTTTACTTGTTTTTCTTCTAACAATAGAAAATGAGAAGTTATTGCTACACTCAAAATAAATTGTTTTTAATGTTTTCTCTTAATCATCATATACATAACTTTCAAATAAGTTTCCAATTCGGAAAAATTGACTTTAATTCATTTAGTAAAGAGACATTAAAGGATCATGCATAACTTTCGTAAAAATCTAAAAGTTATTTTAAAAAAAAAAAAAATTTCATTCATTCGCTATGACGTTCGTGGAACTTCTCAACACTATATTCTTGCAGTTGGAATGAAGAAGAGTACATAAGAAATTCTTTCATAGAACGATTCGAGAAACTGTAAATACTTGATGTTACAATTTGATGATGATGATAAACAAAAAAAAAATATGTTCATCATATTAATTGTACAGATGAATTGAATCATTTGAGAAGGGAAAATATAAAAATTACTAGATTCAATTAACGATAAATAGAAAAGTTGTTCGTTATTGAATTATTTGAATGTTAAGTGCAATTTCAACGTGTTTTTTTTGTAAACATGAAGAAACGAAAAACAATACATCTGAGGAATCTCTTTAGTTGTACGGGATATATTACACCTGTGATTCTTAACAATTGGCAGTACAAAAAAAACAACAAATATTGAAAATAATTATATTCTCGGAATGCGTGTTCGGTGTGAATATAGGTAAATTGAAGACTAGAGATCACATCCAATTAGAGTTCAGCGGTTACAAAAAAAAGCCCACAATTGAGAACCAAACCAAAATCGTTAAATGACTAAGTAGATACGAGAATTCTTAAATCTATCTATGTTGAAAAATTTTCATTTTTCTATTTATGAGATTGAAGATTTGAGCCTATATGTATAATATTGTTTTGTTTAAGTACTGAAAAATATATTGTCTTTAATCTTCACGATGCGATCGTGAAAATATCAGAAAATCAATTTAAAATTTTCGTGTGTATCGGATGAGTCAATTGTTTCGATTCCATGTGATATTTTGGGAACAGAAGCGGAACCGTTCTTTTTTCTCATTATTTGTAACCGGAACCGAAGCTGGAAACATGGTTCCGGTTCTGGATGACTTCATGAATCACCAAAACTTGCACCCACACGTACCAACACACCCCATCCACACCCTAATATTTAATTCGTTTGAACAGAAAAACAATGTTATAGAATTAATGATTGATAACATTAAAACAAGCCGTGCATATCATTTTGTAAGAAGTCACTTTTGTAATGAAACAAAAATCTTTAAAATATTACCTTTTGTATCAATAACAAAAAAATAAATCAATATTTCAATATTACAATTGATTTTAATTTTTACATTATTGAAGAATGTAAAGATACTAACATCTAATGATAAGAATATTTACTGGCTATATATTTTCTAAGACGAAACATGATAATTATGTTTGCAAGCTCTTTTGCCAAGTATTCTTTTCAAGCTAAAGAAATGTTTTTTAATATTATAATGAGAAATTGACCAAGTCAAGACTTGAAGATTTCCCTATTTTTATAAAATTTTTCATATTACTGAGTATCATAAGTAATGAAAGCTTATAGCAGATTTCATTTAATTAAGCGCACCAAAATTTTGTTAAAAAAATCATTTGAAATACGAAACAGAAAAGTTTTTTTCATATTACTTAAGGATATATTGTTGTTTATGACTTTGTCGTGTCATGAAATCTTTAAAGAATTATTTGTTTGTTAAAATATATTCTCTTGTATGTTATAGAGTAGAAAAAATATTTCATCAAAACATTTAATACTAGAAATATATTGTTTAGTTTTATTTATTCAATTCATTGAAATTAGAAAGAGCAAAATCTATCGAGATATTTTAGTGAGTACGTCTCTCACAACGATTATTTTGATTGCTCAAACTTATCTCAATCGAGTGAAACTTTTTCGAAATTTAATGTTTAAATATAATTTACTTTTACTCAATGATCATAGAAAAACTATTTATGCTTCTTATGCATGTTGTCTTAATTTCATCATTGTCTCGACAATACTTTTCATCTAATTGATGATCTGTTAAGAGTGTCAGCTTAGCATTAGTATTGCATTATTTAGTGCAAATTTTAATACTTTTGTATTAGGATTAAAAATTTAACTTAATACTCTTGTGCTAGAGTTAAAAAATTAATTTAATATTTTGGCATTAATATTAGAAAAGTATTAGCCTAATACTAATGCCTATAGTTCCTGAAAACAGAACAAAATCGCTTCTTTATGATAATTTTTTCCCCAAAGCGGAACACTTTTGTTCTTTTATTGGGAACAGCTTCCCATAACGGAACAAAAGTGTTCTGTTTTGGGAAAAAAATAACCATACCGGGGCAATTTTGTTCTGTTTTCGCGAACTGTAGGCATTAATATTAGACTAATACTTTTCTAATACTAATGCCAAAGTATTAAATTAATTTTTTAATTCTAACACAAGAGTATTAAGTTAAATTTTTAACTCTAATGCAAAAGTATTAGCATTTTCCTAATACTAATGCTAAGCCGACACCCCTATGATCAGTGTAAATGATATCCAGCTATATTTCATATAATATACTTGAGATTTATTCCGATATGTCAAACTTTATTCGATTATTATCAATAAAACGTTTGACAACAAAAGTATTATTTATGATAGAAATGAGAGAATATATCCTATGTTCCTTATTATACAATATATATATAAAGTTTGTTAGCATAGTCTCTTTGAAGTTGTAAAATGAAACTCACATATTCTGTATAAACTAGCCGATCATCGAGTACATATTTTTCTTATGTAATGAAATAAATTTTGAAGTTTGGAACAAATGCATTGAAATAATCAAACATTTTTAAAAATGAAAAATTTATTTACTTTTTCATAATAATTAACATTACTGACTAAATATCAAAATTCTATTTTTTAAATCATTTTCAATATAATTAAACTGTTATGAGCTTCAGTAATGTATAAAACTAAAAAAAAATAAAGACTAGTTTATGATGACGAAGAAAAATATACAATAATAATCAAAATAGATGTCAAGTTTATTTAATAGCTTTGAACGACTAGAACAAGTAATATCTATCGAACAATGACTCGTTTTTTTTTAAGATAATTCCAAACTCGTTGGACACAATCATTCCAGTAATTGGAAATTGTCTGACGAATTATCAATAGTTCTCCGATTAAAAAATGTATTTCGAAACAAAAATCTAAAATCAAATCAAATATTCAAGTTTCCTCTTTTATAAGTATCTCTCTTGTAAATTGATCGAAGAGATGATTGATATTAACTTATAAAAATTTAATTAAATAATCGAAATTTCCTTTGCAATGTATAACTATTCATCATGCTCACCCTTTTGTAGATGATTAAATATTGATATAAAAATATATATCTATTTTTACTTTTATTATATTTAAAATTACAATAGAAAAATTCAATAAAATACTTTTTCAATTAATAAAATCTCTTATGATTGACATGTGACTCTATTTTTAATCATATTAACAAGATCATATAATCCTCTACGAAAAATAATTCCACCACATAATGTATAAATATAAAATGGTATTCCATTAGCTATAAATGAAAGAAGAAGTACAAAACTATAAATAAAATTATGAATAGTTTTATCTAATGAATTCAAAGAATTTTTCTGAATAATAGTTGAATATATTTTTTGAATAGCTTGTGGAAGTGTTAATAAAGTAAGAAGAAGAATTTGAATAAATAAAATTAATAGAAGATTATGTTCAGATTTTTTCTTTAATCTTTTATGTTGATCATCGAAAATTCTTGGATTATTTTGAATTATTGTTTTTAAAATAAGATTAGACGTACGACGTTGACTTTGTCGTACATTTAAAATAGTCATTATACCAAATATAAACATAAATAATAAAGGACATAAAATACTAATAAATCCATATGTAAGATCAGTTAAATGACGACATAGAATTGATTTACCATAACATTGTAATGGAACATTAATTTGATTAGCATCATAACAATAAAACATTTGAAGATAAAGTAAAAATGAAATTAATATAATTATAATTGTACCTTGTTGAGATCTTTTTAATGTACTCATTCTTCGATAATTAACATTAACACATGATGAAGCCCATCGATTTATGGTAGCTAATGTAATCAACCAAAAAGCAATTGTTCGTGATGTAAATACAATAAAAGCACGAATTTTACATAAATGACGATTTGTATATGTAAAATCATAATTCCAACCAGATTTAATACGTGTTGTAAGACCAAATAAAATAGATATAAGATTAGCATATGATGATATAAGAAATAACCATGTACATGAATTTGATCGAAATGATCGTTGAGATAAAATAAGAATATTAAGTATATTACCAATTGTACCAAAACAAAAGACAATTATTGTAAAATAACGATTTATTTGTATTGTTGCATTAATATACCAATTATTAAGTGTATCATTTGAATGAGACATTGTTTTTTTTGTTTTTTCTTAAATGAAATCAATGGTAAGATTTAATGTAATGAATCAACGTATTGAGATAAAGAATAATTCTTCTACAAGAAAAGAAAAACAAAGTTTCTTGTCTTTTCTTTTGCAATTTCAATTTGAGAACTTCTTCTCATATATACTAATTCACTCTTAATGGTTTTCATTTATTAATTAGACTTCTTTTTCCTTGGAGTATAATTATATCTTTTGAAAATAAATAATATGAAAGAAACAACAATACATGAGAGTTGTTCATTATAAAATAATATTATCTAAAAAAAACAAAACTTGATATAAAGAGCCTCTTTTTGAAGAAAATAACTTGAAAGATAATAGAATTTTACTAGAGACTTGATGTTTTCTTTTTACAACACATCTTAATACAAATCTAATTTTAAACACTAAAGAATAATTATATTGAAGCAAGCTCTACGAAAATATTTTTAAAAAAATGAAAAGATGCTGAATAATTCATAAAACATTTTCTTTGGATCAGTGATGTTAACTTTACTTAAGAAAAAAAACTGAATATTAATATAGAATTTATTTTCATAGCTAAAAGTAGCGTTGGCATTTGCAGTACTCGCAAAAGTGAGCGGCGAACAGTCCCCTCAATAGTTGAAAATCATTCATTATTAGTCAGCAAAATGAGTAAACTTGCTTTTTTTTGTAAATTTTATATCGGATATCCTAGAATGTTTGGAACATTGTCTAGATTTTGCATATTTTTTTGACAGAAACAAATCATCAAAACTTGAAGTGTTTTTTGTTTTAGAAAGATACGTTGTTGAATTCTCTAGCATAGTCTAAATAAACGATTTTCTTGAGTCTTTCAAATAGATTTTGAGAAGACTAAAAAGAAAATATACAAGATGTTAAAATTTCTCATTATAGCAGTGAAATAAACATTCTTAAAATTGAAAGTTTATTACTGAAATCGATTTGATTGTACAAAAACTGATTGCTAAATACAGTAATACAATTAAAACGATCCTTTTGAGATCTGAAAATCGTTAAAATTTCATACATCTTTATTTTTAATTTTTCAAAAGTCTATTGAAACAAGTCAGAAGAAAATTTGTTACACTTGTTGTAGAGATTTTGACGGCGTATCTTTCTGGAAGAAAGTTTAAGATTTTATATTTTATTTGTAGAAAAATATATACAAAATAAACTGTATTGAAAGAATTTTGAGTCATTCAATTAAATGCCTATGAGATATTATCACATCAACACTTTCTCTCTCCATCTTGACATCTTCTCGTAGGGTCTAGACATTAATGATGTTTCAGTAGGTGACATTAAATTTAACCGTTAAATTTTTTAAGAACTGAAACAGATATACTCAAAGAAAACGCATGTAATAATTGCCAAATGATTCTTTTATAATTAACGTACATTCTTTTTCTTATATGCGTCGAAATTTTGAATAATAGAAATGCTATCGACAAAAATAGATATAAAGATATTTGATCGGATAAACACTTATCGAATAATATCTCAAATATCGATCTAGAACTGAACTGTCTTTCATCGAGAAAATGTCATCCTTTTAACATTGAGTTCGGTTGATTACTTCGATGACCTCAATCTTCTTGAAATCATTTTTTTCTTGTTAATAAGATATTGTTGATTCAAAATTCCGTAGGTTTTTTTTTAACAAGTAATATCGCATATTGAATGGTGGTCCAAAAGTTTTGACTTCTTTCTATAAATTGATGTTATTTATATCAAAACATATTTAGACAATTGACTTAAATACATAGTTTAGCAGAGAAAGAGTAAAACTATTATCTTAAAAGAAAATAGTTCCATCAAGATCATAAAAATTTAAAGCTCCTTTATTAAGCACGACTACATATTTTAAGTCTTACATTTTTAGACAGAGACAGAACTGTTATTGTGATGTCTTGGTGATTAAAGTCGAACGAAATATTAGTTTCTAGATATTTTTACATGGTTCAATAGACTTCGAATGCGTCTTAGATATATTATAAAACACTAACTGAAGAGTCAGCTCTAGGGGTGCCGGCTTAGCATTAGTATTAGAAAAATGCTAATACTTTTGCATTAGGGTTAAAAATTTAACTTAATACTCTTGTGTTAGAATTAAAAAATTAATTTAATACTTTGGCATTAGTATTAAAAAAGTATTAGTCTAATATTAATGCCTATAGTTCGCGAAAACAGAACAAAATTGCTCCTTTATGATAATTTTTTTCCCGAAATAGAACACTTTTGTTCCGTTATGGGCCCAATAAAAGAACAAAAGTGTTCTATTTTGGGAAAAAAAGTATCATAAAGGAGCAATTTTGTTGTTTTCAGGAACTATAGGCATTAATATTAGACTAATACTTTTCTAATACTAAAGCCAAAGTATTAAATTAATTTTTTAAGTCTAACACAAGAGTCTTAAGTTAAATTTTTAATCCTAATACAAAAGTATTAAAATTTGCACTAAATAATGCAATGCTAATGCTAAGCTGACACCTCTAGTCAGTTCGTAATATTGAAGATGGTACGACAGTTGAGTCTTCATCGATTAAGTAAGCAATACATCAAATTAATATCAAAGTCGCTTAAGTGAATACGAAAAAAATACACGTAAACATGCGAAATCTTCAAACGTTGATGACTCACTCGTACTTACATGCATAACTAATAGAATCATCTTTAAAGAGACGAATCCTTGTTTAATTAATTATATTTCATTTGTTTATCTAATCTTTACCACTGTTTGTCTCGTTGTATTATTGTCATACAACGTTAGCTGCAAAATCTTCAAAAAACAAGAGTCAACTTCTGTTCTATGGTTTTCTTTATTGTTATATCAAAAAATCTCAATCGATTTGGCATGGCTATAAAAAATAATTATGGTAATCGTACGTTTTCTAATGATACACATTGCAATTCAAATAAAAACTTTTTTAATGGAATGCAAACATATGCAAAGAAAATTCTTTTCTTCAATTTATTCTTTATGTCAGGTTCAACTGTTGAAAGGATCTTCTGTTGGTGCATCAATATTTAATACACTGTGTACCTTAGAATAAAAAAGAATGGATACACTTTTGGAGGAGACTTTTCTAGTAGATTTATGGATTTCAGAATATCCGAAAGGATACTCAGCTACCAGTATGATAGAGAAATTTTGCGGTACTTTGACTTTTTTCGTAGTTGGCTTCCGAATAGAGCCTATCGGGTTCTCAACCTGGACCCGAAGTCGACTGAGTTCGGGTCCTAAAATTCTGATCTCGATAGATTCTATTCATAAATACTTTTCAAAGTGCTTAAACGAATAATTAGTTGGAAGCTGTTTTTTTTTATAGAGTGCCCTAGAAATTAGATGAATATCAAAGCAGATACCTGATTCGTTGTACTGTGCTCAGACAATGCACAGTAGAGAATTCGGTGGCACATTATTAGTAAGATATTATTTCTGATACTTTGTTGAAAATCATCCTGGCACATTGATTAGGATTACTAGTAGTCTCTGTAATAAAATTTTCAATTATAGTCATACAACAACGAAGAAAATTCTCAAAAACAATACGGTAACTCTTGAAGAATAGTTCGGCTTCAATTGAGTAATATTTCTAATCAAACAAAAACAACACACTAAATGAAGACAAAGTGTAAAACTTAAGAGATACATATCTTGTCTTAATTCGTTTTGTTGTTTACTTTGTCAAAAACGAAACGAGCGATTTTTACTATATATATATATGTTTTTATATTTTTTGAATTTTTTCTTTCCAAAGAAAAAAATAGAGTATTTAACATAAAAATTCTATTCAACATTTTTAGTCATAATACTCATATGATTATTAATTCCATCGACATCTTTAGGATCAAGAAAAGTTCCAAATAATTGATCCCAAAATATAAATAAATCAGCAAAATTTTTATTCGGATGTAAATGATGTACATGATGTTCACGTGATCCAACTAATTTTAATAAACGATATAATTTTGTATATTCCCAAGGATGATCATAATTACTATGACATAAACTTTTAATAGTTGATGAAATGACCAAAAATAAACAATGATCCCAAAATGAACCTGAAATAAAACCAACTAATATCCATCCAATATGACTACTTAGTATTAATTCACCCATTGATAAATATGCTGAACTATCTATAGTTGGTGTACGTAATTGATGATGTTTTAAATGATTAAATATTCGACCAAATTTTGAATGTTGAAATTGATGAAATATTACTCCTAAACCATCAAATATAATCATTTTTAATATAAATGATATTAATGATATTGAATTCATATTTGACATTGTTTTACAATAAATATGAAAATACCATATAGAAGAACGTATTATAAAATGTACTATTGCATGTGAAAAAACAGAAGCTTTTTGTAATTCAATACCTTGAGGTTTTCGTTTTTGTATTTCATATCGCCATGATTTAGATTTTGTTAAATAATCATAGAAACTTATACCATAATGTGGTATTGTCATTAAAATTGTCTCAATTGAAAAATAGACATACCAAGAATATTCCGTCGTCATAATAGATTAATTACAATAGAAAAATTCTCAAAACAATAAATGAATTTATGTTTCTGTTTTATTATTTTTTTGACAATAGTTATATGTTTGTTTTTTGTCTATTCTGTTTTGATTTACTATGGTTAGAGATAATTATGTTACATTCTATTACCATTTACTGATAAGAATCATATGGTACGATCATCGGATGTTGTTTTTTTTTCACTGCAAGAGTATGAAATGTCTAGTAAACGAATGGAAAAAATGTTACATACTTCTTTGAAAAGAAACTCTTTGAAGAATGAAGGGCAAAAGTAACTATTGGTAGATTTTATAACACATTATTTTAAGAACACATAAACAATTTCAATTGAGCTTCTTTTATAATGAAAGTACGGCTGTATAATACTATTGCATATTTGATAGTCTTGAAATCATCAGAAATATTTTTTCTCTTAAAAAAGAATATGAATTTATTTATGTTTACTCAATAACGCAAATATTTAACATTCAACGATAATTTGTAAGAAGTTCAAATAATAAAATCTTAAAATATGCAGTACTATTATGAATTTTCTTGTCAAATCTTTAATATAAATTCAAGTAAATTTATTGCCTGAATTTTTAATTGATGATATTTTACGCAAATATAAATATTGAACGAATTAAATTTTAAGAGATAACATCCCCAACTATTAGACATCTACTGGTCTGATATTATGGCTACGATTAAATCTATCTGAGACTACAAAAGTGCTTAAAAAGAATAGAGTCCATGGCCGTCTGATAACGAGTTATGATCATTTTACTAGATATTTTTAGTTAGAGAAAAGTATTCCCGATAATATCAAAATAAAGAATTTTGATGTGAAATTTTTTCCTTTAGATTGATCAAAAAATCATTAGAAAGTTCTGAAAGTTTCATAGAAAATGATCCTGTTGTTCTTGAGATATTCAGTTTTCTAAAACCAACAGCGGCTTACAACAAAAGATATACAATGATTCGGTGTATTTCAAATTGTTGAATGACTGAAGAACGACACGTTCGTTTACTGTTAAACGTTCAGAATTTTCTAAGGATTATTTCGTAAATCCAACGGCCGTTGTCACATTAAAGTTCTTCATAATTACATCATTAAAAATGATTTGTTATAGCTAAAAACTTCAATAAAACGGTAGTAAATTCTTACCAATAGATCATGAGCCTGAAGCAAGTGAAGAGAGGCAAGACTTCGGAGTTGTAACATTGTGCTTTCTTCCTTTCTAAGGCTTTTCTTAATTTCATGAAGACCTAATAATAGCCCTAATATCAAATCGAGTGGAGCTCGACAGTTGGAGATATACCTTTGTTAGATATAAAAACTTAGAAATAAAATTTATTTATTATTAATAGCTAAAGTAGTGGAAAAAAATTTAATAAAAACGTATTTTTGATTTTTTTTCTATACTGTCAAGTACCCAGCTCAAATCCAGCTAGTGGTTTTCATATCCGATGAAGTTTTCTATGTAATGTATTCCGTAGTAAAATTTCATAATTGCGTCACAGGTATATTTTAACAATACTATTTAAACAGCACAAAAATTATGACCAAAATGGGGGATCGCCGCATTTTCTATGACTTTGTCTTAAAAAACTGAAAAGTATTACAACCTAAAAAAAACCGTAATTTTAGTCAATAAATTTCGATTTTTCTAATATTTTCAACCTCTTTAAGGAAAAATCATAAAAAATGCAACAGCCTTTCATTTGTTCAGTATTTTATGTTCTTTAAAATTGCAGTTTAAAAAAATAAACACTTCTGATAAAGTCTACCTTGACCTCAAAACTACCGTGCTTAACTTTTAGAAACTTGGCTATGATAAATCCATCTATAAATTCACGGTAGAGAATTCATTGCACAGAAAACTTCATGAAATACTAAAATCACTATTGGGATTTGAGCTAGACAATTAAAATTACAGAAAAAAAAATGTTGTTGTTAAACTTTTTTTACACTATCTTATATAAATATTACAATTCAATTTTAAATTTTCTCTTTTGATGAGCTTTTTCACTAAGTTTCATTTTTCCATGTTCACTAAGATTACAATCGTTGATCCAAAGTTGTTTTAATGTTCGATTATTTTCAAACATTTCAATAAGATAATCAATCGATGAATCTGTTATTAACCTGTTCATTGAAAGAGATAAAATTTTCAATGTTTTATTATAATAAGCTAATACATTAGCTAATAATTTAACACCTTCATCACCAATATCATTATTTGATAACCATAATTCGTTTAATGTACGATTTATTTTAAGCATTTCAGATAAATATATAACTCCATTATTTGATATATTATTTTTACTAAGATAAAGAATTTTAAGAGATGAATTTTGATGTGGTAATAATGCTTGACTTAATGAATGTACACCCAAATCAGAGATTGGATTAAATGAAAAATCAAGACTTTTTAATTTTGAATTATTTATTAAACCTGATGCTAATATTGATGCACCATGTGATGTTATTTCATTTCCATGTAACCAAAGTTCTGTACATTTTTTATCAATAATTATTTCATTAACGACAATAGATATATCTGCATTGATTAAATGACAATAAGATAAATCAGCATGTAATTTTGGTTCTAATTGAATAATTTTTTCTTTAAGTGTTGGATTAAAATAAATTTCCGATTTGAAAGTTTTATTATTATTATTTTCTGGTAATAATGATATTGTTGAAGTAATAGGATTTAAACGAAATGATATTGATTGAGAATGTGAAGATGGTGATTCAACATTATTTGGCATCAAAGAAATATTAATTTTGGTTTGAACTTGTATTGTTTTCACAGAAGAGTTTTCTTGTTGATTTATATTTGGTATGAAAATTTCATAAGAATTCTTGTGATTGATAATATCGTTCTTGTTTGAAATCATTTTATCACTTATTATTTCAGATATTTACCTTTAAACAATCGAAATGAGAAATAATTTCATAAAAATATTAAATCTTATTAGAATTTTTATTGATATGTAGTTTCAAGGTTTCACGAGAAATCAAACTCATCTCGTTTTATTTTTATGCTTTCCAAACTATTACGACATTCATACTTTTTTTCAATCTTTAGTCCTTTTGAGCGTGTTGCCTTCACTCATATCTACATACACACACCCAAAAGAACTAAAGGAACTAAAATGGCAACTAATATTCGTATATTGTTAAAAGATGTATAAGAATAAAAATAAAACGAAATAGATTTTATTTTTCGTCAACCTATGAAAAAAAAGCACTATATAAAGTGCTTCGAAATCGATGATATTATTGAAATAGACTCTGACAAAAAAATGATGCCTTTATCTTTGGATGGTTAATGTTGAAATACATTCGATTTTTACACTTTTTTTTTTTCTTCCGAAATTATGCTCTGAAAATTAAGTATTTCAAGAAGGAAATTTCTATTTGATCTTCAATTTGTTAAAATATTTGAAAGATTTTGAGATTAATTTCTGACAGAATTTGTCCACGAAACCTTATCAATTAACACGTTTTTCTTTTTTATACATTTACGATTCGTAATGCAATGATAATGACCTTAGTACGAACTGTTTAACATTCTTCTATTTTTGTAAAAATCTATTTCTTAGACCTAAGTCACATAAAAGTTGAAAATAAAAAAAAATAATCAAAGTTTCTGTTATGGTATTTATCCATTCAACAAATACGGAAGCTTTTATTATACCTCCATCTGGCATACATTAAATATTTACATTACTAAAGCATCAATATAAGTCTATCTACACATCTTTCTATAGACAATAGTAATAATGATTCTGAAAATTGTTGATGTCATATAAAATACTCAATTCAAATAAAGTCAAAACGATACAATTGATTCCTTTTTCGTATTGTTCTAAATGGAAGGTTAACATAATATTCACATAAAATTGATAAAAAAGTTTTCCTATTCTAATGTATCAATAAGCAAAAATAAATATTGACTATTATTAACGTAGGAATCATATACTACTTTGTTTTTTTTTCTAATTAAAAAACCTCAAACTTTATTATAACTTTTCTATTTACCTGTATCTCACGTGTACATAGAAAACCACATAAACAAAAAAGTCAGCGCTCGAGTTAATTTTTCTGTATATCATTTTTCTTTTCATGATATACAATCAACGAAGGAAAAAAGAACGAATAAGCTGCATATCCTCCTACTCGTTTTATTTTTTTGCTATATGCACTATGACTGCTACCTGAAGGATGCTTTCGTTATTTTATTATTTCGAATGATAAGGAAAAAAAAACGTATTCATATTGATTTTTACAACTGTATAGATAAAATATTAGTTATGCAAATTTTTATCGAAATATCTAAAATATTGAATTAATCTTTTGGAACATATGAAAATAAATATATAAAAAAAAAAAAAAAAACAAAAAGATGCTGAAAAAATTTTTAATAATATTCTTTCATATGTATCTTAGTGAAGATGCATTTTATAATGTCATGTTTGGTGATTATCGTTCATAACATCTTTTAGAAGTGAAATTCATTTGTGTTTAATTTTTTTTTGATATTGAACGAAATAGCAAAGACTCAAAATTTATTATTAATTAAGAAAAATATTTATCTCAAAATATTGCTACTAATAGTCGTTTTTGTTCTCTGCTTATAAAGTTTTTTAAAAATTATTAAAAATTCAATTTTGAGCTAATTCTATGGCAAATATGTTGTTCTAAAACTTGCGATTTTTGGTTTTAAAACTAATATGTCTCACTCGCAGAAAATCAATTATTAATAGTTTCTTAATCATTCAAGTATGATTTCATCTATTTTTTATTAAAAACGATCATTCTACTCAATAAAAGTTGCACCTTATAGTAGTAGCGATGCCTGAAGACTAGCGTCTATCTAGGTTTTTTAGGAATAAGGGAGCATTAGCAGGTGGCGCTCTAGCAACGTGTACTATATTATTCAAGATGCATGTCAACAATAGAGTAGCTAACGACGAAACTAGAACATAAGCTCCTCTCTTCTTCTTGAAAGATTGCTGCTACTCTATTTAACACCGCTTATTTTTCATAACACGATACACGCAATGAGAGCGCCACCTACCACTGCAGTCTCCTATCCTCAAAAAACACAAAAGAGACACAAGTGTTCTGACTGTACCGCTATCTTAAATGATCTGAACTAATTATAAAACAATTATATTTCTTTGTTATTAAAACATCAGCGGCACTGTTTAGAGACTTTTCCGTCGAAAAACGATAACTAGTATACAGTTCGTATTGTCATGATATATTGTCGTATTCACATCGATTTTTTTTTCTTGTATACTACTAAATCTATCAAGTTCAGTTATGTTTAATTTAACCTCGAACGAACACTGTCTATTGTTGAAAACCTTTTATGTCATCCATTGGATTCATATACAAAAAATTGACGCGCGCAAACTATATTTATTGTATATGTGTGACAAAACAAGGACATACAACGGCAATATAATTAATAGTTATACGTGGCAAAAGACAACCAAACATTTTATGAAACAAACAATTATCAATAAAAAAAAGACGTGAAATTCAAGAAGAATATCTTGTTGAATCAGAGAATGATCATAACAGTTTTTCAACATTTTCAGGTGTTTATGAGCTATTATTTCAATGTGAGGAGAGTAAGATGCAAATTAAAATTCGGATAGATTGCACATGAGCATCTGAACTACAAAAGAAAAAACGTTTTCTCTCATCTATAGTACTTAATTATGAAGAAAAGTGATGAATGGAGAATATGCAAAACAAGGTATAGTTTTCTCCATAACTGGATCATTGTGATTATGTTGATCATCGCATATCATGATGAAAAACTTTTTTGAAGAGTCCATGGTGAAAGAAAAAAAATATTTTAAAAAGTCGTTAAATTATTTAAGTTAAAGGATCCAATATGAAAACTATTCTTTAAAATTACAAAATTCTTGCATGAAGACAGAGACAAATACTAACATAAATGATTCTCTTATTTATCTTAAATCTTTGATAAATGAATAATACTCTCATTTTCTGAAACAAGCTCTAAAAGAAATTTTGAAATATGTAGCGTAGAAATTTGGACTTACTTCCCTTTTCCTACTACAGACTGTGACAGTCTGTAGATCAGGGTCGCCGATTGTTTTTAGGAGTGAGGGAGGGGGATAAAAATTTGGCAGAAAGTCAATCTTTTTACAATATTTAGTTCATCGAGAAATCTATTAAGAGTAACAAACAAGATCATGTTCGTCAAAAAGCAAAGACACTTCCAAATATATTTAAACTTTCAAAAAATGAAGACATTTTAAGGTGCGAGCAATTCAAACTTCAAGTAATTTTTTTTTTGCTTTTTTTACATCATTTGATAGAGTGTGGGCCGCTGATCACGAAAAACTTGAAGGACGTCGTTTTTTTCGAAAAAAAAACTATTTCAAGATATGCAAAATTTTCTGCTATATTCTTGTTTCCAGCTTCTAAAGATATATTTTTCAGATTCAGCATCAAAAACTGAGTGCAGACAAGTTATTAGACCGACCCCGATCTCAAAAAAAAAATTTTTGATGATGGCGCTTCGAATCGCTCCGAGTGCAATACGCATAGGTCGATTTTGTGAGCCTATTTAGTTTTTTTACGTAAGAGATGAAGGCAAATATTTTATTTCATTTAACTCATCATACCACCAGTCACAAAAGAACGCATCGCGTTTTTTTTCTTTTCTTTTCGTTGTTGAGAAAAACTGTTTTTCTGAATTTTGGGCTAAATAGATGGAATTTGACTCGTATTTCTCCATTTTCTTCATAAAAACTAAGTTTTCAGGCAATAATCTTATCATATTCCGAATCAGTACGAAAAACTGAATCGATTGATATATGATTTAACCTTTTCCATTGACTTCAGATTTTTAGTTTTCGGAGAATACCTGGCTGAAATTTTCATCAAAAAAATTAAAGGTAACGACATTTTTCGAAACATACATCAATCGATTCAGTTTTTCGCGGTGCTTCCGAATATGATAAGGTTATTGCACGAAAGCTTAGTTTTTATGAAGAAAATGGAGAAATACGAGTCAAATTCTATCTATTTAGCCCAAAATTCAGAAAAACAGTTTTTCTCAACAACGAAAAGAAAAGAAAAAAAACGCGATGCGTTCTTTTGTGACTGGTGGTATGATGAGTTAAATGAAATAAAATATTTGCCTTCATCTCTTACGTAAAAAAACTAGATATGCTTACAAAATCGGCCTATACGTATTGCACTCGGAGCGATTCGAAGCGCCATCATCAAAGAATTCTTTAGATTGGACTCGATCTAATAACTTGTCTGTACTCAGTTTTTTATGCTGAATTTGAAAAATATCTTTAGAAGCTGGAAAAAAGAAGGAAGCAGAAAAGTTTGCACATTTTGAAAAAGATGTGTTTTTCGTATTTTTCGACCCCAGAAGAAGCTTTTTCTGGCGCTAAAAAGTAGTTTTTTGTGATCAGCAGCTCACACTCTATCAAGTGATGTAAAAGAAAGGTGAAAAAAAAATTTGGCTTGAAATTCGTATTGCCAGCACTTCATATATAACATATTTATTGTTCACTGTGCCGATGACGAATGGGTTCGTTGAAATATAAATTATTTTGATTAAAATAAGTTCAATTCCCTTTTACACGTCGTATATTGGACACAGATGGAATCACAACCCGACAATGAGCAGGAAAGCAGACCGAAATTCACCAAAAATTTTAGGCAAAGAGTACATATGAGCTTTCTGCCAAAGAAAAGTACTCTCAAGTTGATTTTCTGCGGGAATTTTGCAGAAAATATATTCTTGATGCTATCTATCTATTTTTGCCAGAAAGAGGGATAATATGACTCAACTGTTCGCATTGCTACCACTAATCAATAAGTATGCATGCATCGCGGAGAGAAAATTTTGAGAAATTCATCTTCTTAAATTTTGTTTATATATAGGTTATACGAAAGCGAGAAAAAATACTTTTCAGCAGAAAAACGTTGAAATACAGCGGAAACAAATTGGCAGAAACGACCCGAATTTAGCGGAGATCTCCCCCACATCCCCCCCTACTCGGCAAGCCTGCTGTAGATCAATAACGACTCGTTAGAATATATTAACTAGAGCCTTATTGCATTTTAGTTAGGTTAATTAAAAGATAGATAAAGAAATGAATTCCAAGATGTATAGAATAAAACAATATTCTTCTGGTTAGCAACAGTACCTATATCGTTTTCTACCTTTAATCCCGTAAGAATTACGCTAACAGCTTTTTTAGGAGTACAATTTTATATCATTGATCGATTTCGATTTTGTATGCACTTGAATTCAATAATAATATTTTCATAGCATCTTCTTTTACATAATAATAAGTCAAACTTGTAATAAGAATTTTTTTTCATTTAAAAAGTACTGTATCGGATCGAGGAATTTTTTATTTGCGGGCAGTTAATCAGTCAATCTGTTTTGACGAATGATTAGCAATGGACAGTAAGTTTTCGATGTTTAGATAAGACATATGCCAGTGATGAAAATCAGAGAAAAAATAATACTGAATCACTATGTTGATGTCATAACAAGTGAATGTACTAATTTAAGATACTCATGTAGTGAGTCAATTGTCAAACGAACACCTTGTTGACTACTCTATTATAAGTACGTCACAAGATCTCGGCTGAAAATCCTACTAAGAGTTGGCTCAACACACAGGTATATATCAGATATCTGCCCAATTTATATGGTGTTCTATGCAAATTTTTTTACTAATTGAGTGGATTTTATATTTGGAAGCATTTTTTAGTCAAGTGCTAAACATCTACACTTTCTCTGCACAGTGAAATCCTCAAAGGTTACTGTGACACACCAGTAGCATGATATGTTTACATGTACTCTGTGCTCAGTAAATTTGATAAAACCTATTAAAATTTCATAATATCAGCTCCATTAACTATAATTTATCTATAATTATCAAAAATAAATAATTATTCTTTTCACAATTACTAAAAATTAGTTTATTAAAAACTCAATCAAGAATTTTAGTATTATTTTTTTTTCTTTCAAAACATGCAGAAATGCTTACTTGAAATATTTCTACTCTATAATTATTATTACTGTACAGAAACTTACAATGTAAACATATCTACACATTAAATCATATTAGATATGACAACAGCAAAACTAATAATAAAATTTACAAAAAAAGAACACAAAATAAACGTATACATATATAAAAATATTATAAAACAAATTAATGTATTCTTATTTCACAATTTTTCTTTGTTTGTGCAATCATGTGTAGTCTTTTATTATCAGCTCGAGATAAACTGTGTCCATTCAGATTAATTTTTCTTAATGTTTGATTTTTTTCAATCATTTCCATAAGTATATCAACAGTTTCAGTTTTTGTAAATTTATTCCATTCAAGACAAAGTTCTTGAAGTGTATTATTATTATTAATAAGTTCTCTAGTTAAACATTGTATTCCTTGATCATTTATATGATTGCTTGGCAACCATAAATGAGTTAATGATTTATTTCCTTTTAACATAATTGCTAAATGTTTAGCACCGTTATCTGTTATACCACTATCATTAAGACAAAGTCGTTTCAAATATGAATTAATTCCATTTGAAAGAACGTTTGCAAGAGCTTCAGCACCAGCATCACCAATAGTAATACCGTTTAAATATAATTCTTCTAATGTACCATTAGATTCTAAAGAGTTACTAATGATTGTTGCACCCTGTGATGTTATTCCACCTCCTCTTAAAGAAAGTACACGACATTGTTTGTTTAAAATTACTTCTTTAACAATAATTTCTAAATCATTATCTGTAAAACGTTTTCGAAATAAACATGCTAATGAACGATCATTTAATCGAGCTATTTCTTTATCAATTCTTGAATTAAAATGTAATTTAGATGTTGTTATTAATGTTCGTATATTATGTAATAGTGAAGAAGTTTCTGCTTTTTTATTTTCTGTTTCAGTTATTGGAAGATCTATAAGTGGATATAATGATTGAATTTCTTTCAAATAAATTGTTTTAAAACTATTTCTATCATGTGAATATTTAACAACTTTTAATGTTGTTGCAGGTAAAAGTAATATTTCATTTTCTCTTTGAAAAAATGAATATTTACTTATATTTTTTCCTGCTAAACAATTAATAATAAAAAGTATTCGTTCACCATCATTTTCACGAAAAAATTGTTCATTTGCTGGAATATCTGGATCTATTGAACATGATGAAAAACCCCACCAAACAATAGTATCTTCTTGTTGATATTTATCACAATTGGGTAATACAACTGCACGATAAACATTACGACTAATTGTTGGAAGACGTGATAATGCAGTAATAAGAAGTTTAAGATATAAAAACCATGATTTTAACAATGATCGATCTTCTTCACGTAATGTTGAATTAAGAATATAATAAAGTGAATTTGTATATGGATCCCATTCCATTGTATATAATGTTATTGCTGCTGCTTCATCAATTGAAAGATCATTTTCAGGATTATTTGTAGCACGCTTTTTAGCCTTATCAACTTTTATTTGAATATCGGGAATAATTGGAATAAGTTGTTCGACAGCTTGTTCAAGTGATACTAAAGGTTTTTTATCGAATCCATGGATAGGCGCTAGCATAGTACATGGTTCTCCACTAGCATCATAATAACGATATATTGTATCTATGTTATCGCTAATATTTTCCATTGATAAAATTTTCTTTCGAACAGTGATAGTATTTAATTTTGAAAGCCTATCGATTTATATTAAATAAAAAAAAAAAAAAAAAGGAAGTAATCAAATATTTATGACATATATATATATAGCGTGACCATATTAACGAAAAAATATCGAAAAATGATTTTTCTTTTCGTTCTTTTGTCTGATTAAAAAATAAAAATAAAAAAAAAAAAACGAAATTAACAAATTATATTGTGCGAAATAACCCATACGTCATGTTTACAATCATGTGTATTCACGGTAATTAACGAGATGTGAAGAGTAGTCAACGAAAAGTATAGTATTTTTAAAAGGGGGTAATTGCCTAAATATTACGCACACAAAAAAATATGTATATATACATATAAAAAATAAATAATACAACATGTCATTTTTAATATATAGTATGATTGATGTGCCGATGAACAATAGGCTATAGACAAGTATACCTTGAATGTAACATTTATAAAAACTAGGTTTATAAAAAAAAAGAAAGAAATTAATATTGTGATAGATTTTTCTGTGTAAATATTTTGTGAATTTGTTTAAATGTTCAATTATTTTCTTCATGAATTTGAAAGTCAATGAAGAGAATTAAAACGATTGAAATAGTCGACAATCATTCTGACATAAAAAAAAAAAACAATTCTAGGGTAATTATTTTAATGGTTGAAAAACAATATACATAATTACAAATAACAATATTTTATTAAGATTCGAGTTCTATTTTTTTTTTTTTGTATTTAGAAATAGTGAAAATAAAAAGAACTGATCTTAAGTGATGTATAACTTTAACTGATGTTTAATTAAATCTATGAAGTTATCGAGATCATGAGTGTTATTTATTCAAATTTAGCAAAGTTTGGACCGAAAAAACAAAATAGTAGAAAAGTTCTTTAAATTTGTACTTTTTTTTAGTAGTATTTTTTATCGTTTTACATAGTTTCTAGATGATATGTAAAGTATAAATGTATGGTGCTGTTAAATTTTTTCTTGAAATCTAATATTTCAAAAATTAAAAATGTTACTTTGCTTGTTCATAAAGATACTTAACATTCTGCCTAGTAAAAGAGAGCAGATACATTTCTATGTTTTCTTAATGAAAACGAAAATTAGAATTTATTTTTAAAATGACGAAAAATTATTTCATTCGTAATTTTGTGCTTATATCTATATATGACAGCACATCATATTAGATGGCGTTGTAATTTTATGTATTGGTTCACATTTCTAACTAATCGTTATGCTGTATCTTCAACTTTTCTTTTCTTTTTGTATAAACAACCACACCCCTGTAAAATGGACAAAAAAACCAACTGATGTGGTCAGTAATGACTACAGATGTAAGCCAATCTATTCATCAATCATAGTGGCTGAATTTTGTATAATTTCATTCATCTATCAGCGGTGATGGCTTAAACGCTTATCATAATCATACAGTACGGTTTTCGCTGATATCTGACATTTTTTCTAAGAATTAAAACATTGATAACAAGAAATATACAAAACAAAAAATTCAAATAGAAGAACTATGATAATCATAACATGAATAATATATTTCTAAAAAATTATACTGATTTTCAAAAAAAAAAGCAAAACATTAATCATATTGAGTCCTTCGTTGTTTTTTGTAATTATTTAATGGATAGCTTTCAATTGAATTGATTAAGCTCGTGTTAACATATTAGTTTATGTTAATAGTATGAAAAACAATCAGACGTTCTTCAGTAAAAAAAAAAAAAGATTTATCAATAGAAATAAAATGAACACTAATGAATGAATTACATACATTTGAAAAATGAAAAACAATCAAAAAACATACACAAAAAAATTTATAGATATGTGCTAAAGTAACTATTCTTTCTAGTTTGATGATATTCCAGATCAATTTTCTTTAATTAATATACTTGCAATGCTAAAGACATTCGGTGATTGTATCTAATGGAATTAAACTAAAATATTATTAGTTTTATTCAAGTCAATTATTGATGATATATTTTAGTCAAATAATATTTACTATTACAAAATAGGAAGTAGTCCTTTGTCATGCTAATATTTTTTATTGTTGAAGAAAATAAATAGATATTCTGCATCATGTGAATAACAATATTATAGTTCATTTTAGTTACATTTCCTTGCAAATTATTTTTCTTTTCAATTGCTTTATAACATTTAAGAAACTAGTTGATAAACAAGGTAATTATTATCATCAAGGGTTATTTTCGCCGATGTAACATTTTTATTTGAATAAAGACGTCATCCAAGCAGTATTTTTTTCGAAATTATTTAGTTTGCGTCCATTTTTTTTGTTCTCCTTTTTCTTTCAATAATTTAATAAGGGAAGTATGTGCGTAATGTCAATAGTCTATCATTGAATAAGCATATTTAAAAAAAAAAAGACAGTTGCATTGTATGATATACTTGTTCTTTCACAATTCCATTATAGATGTGTGTGTCATATAAAGGTAAAGTAATCGAGATATACATGTTGTTACAAACAAGTTAACGAAGAAAGAAAAGGTAAGGTCACATGCTCTACCGTATGTTGGGTTAGTGATGATCATTCTTGCTTATATGTGAAGATGTTAAAATAAAAACAGAGAAAACATATTGAATTATATTTGATTTAATGATTAAGATATAGAGAGATTGAAATTTTGATAGAAGAAAAAAAAAAAAGGAAAATTATGTTTTATTATTTATATATTTCTGACAATAATAATTAAATATTTTTATAATCAAGATCATACAGTTTAATATTGTATTATTCTAGTGAATTTCAAGTTTCAATCTCATAGAAATTTTCGTAGTCTATGATGATTAATAGAAAATAAAGTCCTATATTCTTTTAACGAACTATTTATACCTAATTAGTATATTTTCATTTTTCAAATGTTGTTTTCGCATAAGCAGTAAAACATAATTATCTCAATCGTTAAAAGAAAAATATGATATTTGAAGTATATCTTATCAGTAAAGCAAACATTTGGAAAAGCTATGAATATTGTAATGTCTCTATAACTCAAGTATGTTAATATTGGATATCGTCTATCGTTGACGTCGCTATAGAAGATAACGAGAATAGAAAATCTTGCGATGTAGAACCCTAAAAATAGGACTAAGCAGTCAACTATATTCGTTTTTACTAATTTTCTGTATTTTCCATAGTCATTTATTTTGTGGTTCAATTATTTTTCAAATATGTATTGAACATAAAATGTTCTCAAACAGAAAGGTCAGATTTGATTAAAAGCGTTCTTTTTGCTTTTGATAGTGTTTTTAAAGAAAGAAAAAAAACAAACGAATCTAGTTATCAAGAACAAAAAATATGTTTTTTTCTTCGCTGTTTATCATATGGTGAAAGTCCAACTTGATTTTAGTTATTGCACAATATCTGCATAACTTCAATCATTCTGAAATATGCTTAAAAACAATTGAAATTATTCACATACTTTCACGATTTACCCCCGTTTCTGTCCCAATCGATCCCATTTGATAATCTCTCACGTGGGTCCTATCTCACATTTGGGTCCTTTCTTAATTCAGTTCCCTCTCATTTCGGTCCCTTTTCACTTCGTTCATGATTCATCAAATTAAAAGAAGATGATAGGTCTTCTCTCATTTTCATGAGTAGTCGTTTAAAGAATTCATTCTAGAGTAGTCATTGATTCAGCAGAATGCATATAATCGTCCGGTTTAAACCAGATGACGCATAAGCCATCATAGTTAAGAAACATTTATTGATTACAAAATACGAACAACAAGTAACATACAATTAACAAACTAGACATCGTAATACATTATACTTGATTAGAAGGTTTTTAGTATACTATTAAATGAGAGTATTAAAACAGCATCGAATAGCGCTGCAGTGTAAGGCTATGCACAACTTCTTGTTGTTCTCCGTGAACACATCGATGACAGGCTGACAGATTTACGATTAGTAATTCAAAGCAGCAAAACTGTAAAAACGAAATTTGTGAAGAATTAAAAACAAAGAACTGTTTTTTATTATATATGTCAGTTTCTATCAGTTATAAATTTTGATAACTTTTGTATTTAGCTGGTTATTCGTTATCATATAAGTTATTTTCTACTCTATTAAATATAATTATGAGTCATTGTATTTGATAATATTGGAATCGAACTGAGAAATCATTAAATGAGACCGAATTGAGATAGGATCCAAGTAGGAAATAATCAAATGGGACCGAAGCGCGTAAGGATCGAATCGAAGAGTGTCCACTTTCACTGTCTTAACAATAAAATCTCATTTTAAACATTTTTTCATGATTAAAAAATTCTTCACTTATTTGAAATATTCTATGAACATATGATAAAAAATTCATAATCATATAATTAAATTTGTAAAAATTCAAATAGATGTCACACAACAAACATAATGTATTTAGATTTTAATGTATATAAACAAAACGTTGGAAAAATTATTTACATTAATAACATTTTTTCTTTGTTTATAGATTGACTTTTTTTTCAAACAATCAAATAATGGCATTATATACAACAATAAATACTAGTTTAAATGAAAATTCAACTCAAACTTATTCGTATCAATCGTCAGATGAAATTAGTTCTATGCGTCTCATGACCCTAAAAAAAGTTCTCAATATTGACATTATAAATCATATTCAATTAGATGAAAGATTAGTTAGAAATTTAAATGTTAAAGATCTTATTCTATTGCCAAATATTGCTACAACATACGTTCGACAACCTGATATAAAAGTTCAATTTGAACAATCAAAAAAAGTTATTCAAAATGATTTATATCCTCGAATGTCTATTAATAAATCAAATATTTTATCTGTTACTAATGAAGATTATAAACGACATTATTCAACAAAAAAACCTTATGCATATCCTTCAGAAAAATATATTTTAAGTTTACCACCAACAGGTTATAAACCAGTTGGTGTACAACTTCTTGCTCGACATGGTAGTCGAACTTTAAGTAGTCGTAATTATGATTTAGAAACATTAACTATTTGGCAATTAGCGAAAGAAAAAAATATGTTAACATCATTAGGTGAACAATTAAAAGAAGATATAGAATTATTTATGCATGCAAATAATCATATGGGGTAAGTTTTGAATATCTTCTTTTTTCTTTCTGAATAATCATTACAATTAATTTTTATCAGACGTGGACAATTAACTCAACTAGGTAAAGAAGAACATTTTGGTATTGGGATGCGTCTATTTAATCGTTTAAAATCTTTATTTATTTCATCAAATACAATATCAGTAATGACAAGTGGTAAAAAACGTACTATTGATAGTGCACAAGAATTTCTTAATGGTTTAACAAAATCCAATTGTAATATACAAATATTAAATGAAAAACCAAATAAAAAATTACTTTATTTTCATAGATCATGTACAAATTATATGACATTTAAAAAAAGTGATCCATATATAAAAACAAAATTAAAAATAATTAAAAATTTAGAATTAACTAAAACATATGCAAGACAAGTTTTAAAAAGAATTTATCAAAATGAATTTGTTGAATTATTAATTAATGGAAATTATGATATTAATTCTAAAGAAAATGTTGATTCTAATGAAAAGAAATTTATAAAAAATGAAGTGGATGTTGTTTTATGTCTCTATGATATGTTTTCAGTTGCACCAGCTCAGAGTCAATCCAATTTAGCCAACATGTTAGCAAAATATTTCAATCATGAAGAATCAAAATGGTTTGCTTATATCAATGATGCACAGGTATTTAATTTTTCAAATATCTCAAACATATAATCAATTATTTTGTGTATTTGTTCGAAATGATTTGTCATAACAATCATATCGAATACACACACACACACCAAATCAGCCTTTTTTGCTTTTGCTTTATCTTCATGATCATATATCAAATTATGTTATTCATTAATAGGAATTCTACGAGAAAGGTCCATCTGTTGAAGGAACTACAGTTACATATGATATGGCAAAACCACTTCTAACTGATTTTTTCTCGTCAGTTGATGCATATATTGAAACCAACAGAAATATTGTTGCAAATCTTCGTTTTGCACATGCTGAAACAATTATTCCAATAGCAACACTTTTACAAATTCCTGATTTTTCAGGCAATGCAGTACATCCTTTAGATATTTATACACATGATAATAATCAATGGAGGGGTGATACAATTGCTCCAATGGCTGCTAATATTCAATGGGAAATTTATCAACATGAAAATGATCATCATCAAATATTAGTACGAATGTTATATAATGAAATGGAAGTCAGATTTAAACAAGATTGTAAACCATTGACACCAGATTCTTTTTTTTATGATTTTCACGAATTAAAACGCTCATATGGAGATTTTCTATTACCATCAGTTTCGATGTGAATTGAATTCACGATAAAAAATTTTGTCGTTGCTTCTATTGTATAAAAGGCTCTTCCTTCTTTAATACTTTTTGTATATATATATGTAAATTTGATTTTACTGTAGTTATGAACAACTTTTTTCTTTTTATCACTTGCTTTATATTAATATTCGATTATATTATTTGTGATCTAGATCTTTTGTTTTTTTTCATTCTTTTATGCGAAACTGAAAATACTTTTTTTTTTTTCATTATAAATTTATATGTTTGTAATAAAATGAGTACGTTGAATTCATAAGAGTAACTCAAACGGATGTTATGTTTTGCTCTTAGTTTAATTAAATAATGAACAAATAGTACGAAAAAAAAATTTTCACAACTAACCGCTTGATATATGTTATCAATCATCGAGTATCAATTATTAAATATCTATGATTTCTTTTTTTACAATAAATAGATTAGGATTATTTAATTTGATCGAAAACTTTTTCAATTAAACATGATGAATAAAAAATTGATTCATCGAATAGCAATAATTTTTATCGGAAATCATAATAGATAATAAAAAAATACGCAATATATATTTTATGATTATATATACTTTATAAAATTAGATTTTTATAATATGACTTACGGACTGTGTATACATCAAGAGAAAAAAAAAAGAAAAAAACTGCTTCGTTTAGTGCACTATAAGAGTATGTCAATGCTATTGTCTCGAACATTTTAACTGTTTCAAGTCTACTATCCATGTATGCCATGGGCATTTCAGTTTGAGTCTATTTGATATAAGTCTGACAAGTAATAAAGCTCAAATAATCAATGATGCAAGAGTAAACGAACGAATGTCGGCATCTATTTATCTTCAATAGAAGATTGTTGCAAGAAAAGGTTTTTTTTTGCCGGAAGATACAGAATTATTTTCTCTTTCGAATCGCCTATGATTTATTTTTACAACATATTCATAAACGAAACAACGCAACAAAAAAAAGAAGAATCCGTAAAAAAAATCATATTTCTCTATAAAAGAACTGCATGAAATATTGATTCTTATATTCCTTTAATAAATGGATTATAAAAAAAAAATTTTTCTATCACTTAATAGGAAATTATCTTCTCTTTCAAACAGTCAATTTTACGAATACTTGTCTTTTCAGTTGCTCATTACATTTATGAACGTTTGATAAAAATATATTACATACGATTTGACAGAGGAAAAGATTGTCTATCTTCTAGTAAAAGAAACCTTTCTTATAGTATCCTTTTGTTGAAGAAAAATAAGTCCTGACATTTGTTCGGTTACTTTTGTATTCTATGCCACTTTATGATATCGCTGTTTCGTCCTTGGTACACAATCAATTGTGATAAATTGGAGAAAGTCTTTGTCTCTAATAAGCTTTCATTATAGAATTTCAGCAGAATGATACTTCGTATATTTGCTTAACAAGATTTCATATACTTCAATATTAATGAGCCTATGAAGAACATAGGATTTATACTAATAATCGTTCGAATTTAACATAAAAGTCACTCGATTTTTTTAAAAATTATTATAAAGAACTAGTTTATAACATATTCTTATATATAAGTCTTGCGTGGTAGTTTGATCCTTGTTATAAAAATTTATTTACGTAATGTTAATATTCTTTTGTGTTCGAAAAGCCATATGTATGAGTGAATTCGGTAGTTTCATGCAAAATTATAAGATTGTGAACTAGAAGAATTTCAGTAGAATTTTTGTTAAGTTGTATTAAACCAAAATAATGACTTATATCAGAAAATAATGTTTTTTTTTCATCTTAATAAGTATTGTGCAACTGAATCTTTTTTCAAACGATCAATTATTTACTTTTATAAGATTTTACGATATAATGTGTTGTTTTTGTTAAAAGCCTGTCACTAATATTAGCTGCTGACTTGTTCGATTCGTTATTATTCATCATAAAACGTTGTCCTTCATATTCTTTATTCGTTTTCTTTTTAGCTTATATACTCGATCAATTTTTTTATCGTTTCTTTTAGCAAAATATGCAATAATAAGAGCAAGTAAATAAATCGAAAGTGAAAGAAAAAAAATATATAACAAAAGTTCTATAACAACTTGTAATTTATTTTACAAGAAATAACTCAAATGCACATATTATTATTGATATTATTGATTTTCATTAATCAATGTCAAGGATTTTTCAAAAACACTCTACTTCAATTAAATACAATAAGTAATCGTCATAATCTAACATGTATATCCGATTTTAGTAATGGAGATTTATTTACCGATTGTGAATATTGCGTATATGAATTTTTTAATAATGGTACTGATTCAACTATATATTATGATTGTATTTATTTAACAAATTCTTATCGTCTTGTAACACAACGTTGTACAGGTTTTACTAATAATAGTGATATTGGTTATGGTCTTTGTTCCAAATTACCATTTGAATACTTTGATATTGATTTACTCTGTATATGTGCAACAAATTTATGTAATGAAAATTTTACAACATGTAAACAATCTGTTGATGAAAATCCCAAGCTTTCATCACTTTCTTCACCTATACCATTACTTACTAAGGAATCATCATCTATCACGTGTCAAGATATACCACTTGGACTATTAAATTCAACATATTATTGTATACGAGATGCAACACCATACATAAATATGGCTCAATGTGAAGAATATGTTCAAAATCATATTGTACTTTGTATGTATTTAGAAAGTGATAATGAAACTTATTTAACATTAGTTGCATTACCTGATGAAGATTATGAATATGTATTAGCTGGTCAAATACAATTAATGCAAAGAATGGCAGTTAAATCTAATGTTAAACAATATTATAATGAAACAAGAAATACATTTTATATACAATGGCAAGAAAAAATTGAAGATTATAATTATACTCGTATTTATAATAAATGTTATTGTACGACAAATGATTGTAATATTAACTTAACTGCTTGTCTTCAAGCAAAAACTTTTATTAATAAGTTATATAAAAGTGAGCATAATTATTGGGTTTGTATAAAGAAATATTATGAAATATTTTTGTTTTTGTTATAGATACAAGCAATATATTGTTGATTTTTATTTTGGCTGGTTTCATCATAATAACGAACTTTTTAAACTAACTGTGAATTATTGTTAATATTTCTTTTTTCGTTTGAATATATTTGAAGAGAAGAGCATATCATTTCTTGTCATATTGTTTATCGGCATACAGATTGTAAATTTTCTGTATGAAGACCTAGCAAATCCAACCAAATCTTTGTGCCAATTATAACCAGTTTTATTCATTCTACTTGATACTGGTGTAAAATTACCAAATCTTATAAGTTTCTTTTTTAGATTTGGTAATTTTACCCCAAAATCGGGTACAACAACTAAAACTGATTATAGTTGACACAAGAATTTGGTTGGATTTGGTTGGGTTTTTCTATCAAAAGTTTACAACCTTTATGTAGAAAAATAAGATTTGTTGTAACCCTACTATTCTTGAATCAAATGTAGTATTTAAGTAGCAATAAATTTAATCAACTTTTTTCAACCACTACTATTTTACTCACCAATCAATGGACATATTAAGGAAATAAATGAACATATACTATTATTACTAAAGCTGAAATAACAATGAATAGAACCGAGCCTTATATTATAACAAAGTAAAACATACGTCTACAGTTATCTTCTGTTGATGGTCTAGCAAAACCATAAATAATCCTACATCAACAAATGCCATATGAACTTCAGCAGTCATAAATATTTTAGTGCAGCTGTTAAGGCAATTCATTAATCCGGCTGAAGGTAATTCATCAAGATGCACATTAATACGTCGCCCATTAGTTTCACAAATGGAATGTAGAATGTTTCAGATTAGATTTGTTAGGTTACTTTTACCATATGCTAAAAATATAAAAAAAAACGAGAAATAATCTAATGAATTATTAGCTTGATACAGGTTTATGCAAAGACCGTGTTGTAGAAATTTAATGGTATACTTAGGGCGTACCAAAAGTTCGTGTCCCGCTATTTAAAGGGCCTCATCGGATGAGTGAACCGATTCAGAAATAAGAAACAAATATATCATCTTGTAGAGCTTTTCGAGCCGCATCGAATGGTATATAGTAAATTCTGTTTTCATAGAACTTTGAAGGACCTAGAGACAATTTACTGATGGACGACTACACATTCACACCCATCCACACTCACGTCTACATTCACAGGATGACCGGAGATGGTGCGTATATGAGGTTGTAGCCCGTCAAAACCTCTACAAAGTCGCATGCGAGAAACAATATTTTACAAATGCTTTCAATTAATAACACGAACCACAATAATCATTAACTTATGGTCTTCGGGTATGGATGCCGATATGGATGGATGTGAATGTGTAGCCATCTATCAGCAAATTGACTCTAGGTTCTTCAAAGTTCTATGAAAACACGATTTACTATATACATTCTATCCGGCTCGAAAAGCTCTACAAGATGATATGTTTGTTTCTTATTTCTGAATCGGTTCACCCCATCCGACGAGGCCCTTTAAATAGCGGGACACGAACTTTTGGTACGCCCTAAGTATAGTGACACCTATCTGATGACCGCAAAATTGAACTAAATTACAGCATAGTTGCAACAATATTAAATAGAGCAATGGCATAAGAAAATGAATTCATACGAAGTAAGAGCTGCCAAGTTATATTCGTTTCTGCTAAACCTCTGATAAACATGATGTTAATCAAAATCCCTACCCATGCCGCACATTTACTTGAACTAACGCCGGTATGCCGCGGTAGTCGAGAAAACCGACGGTTTTCTTGATTACCACGGTATACCGGCAGTACAACTATCTATCTATCTCTATATATATGTATCTATATGATAATGTTCTTTTCAATTTAGATGATTGTGAAGATTGCAATAAACAGTAAGTGTTTTTTATATGAATTATTACTACTATATCATTATTTTATGTACGACGATCTCAGTATCAAAATAAAAAGTACATATTCATGCA